AGGGAGGGAGGAAGGAAGGAAGGAAGGGAAGAAAGAAGAACTAAGGAAAAAGAACAAGAAAGAAAGAGAAAAAGAAAGAAAGGGGAAGGACTTGTGTATATGCCCTCATACAAGAAGGGGTAGATACCAAGTGAATATGGACACTATTTTATGACAGATAGTCTGGTAACTGGTGTGAGTGATGGAACCTGCAGGAGACTGGTTTTCTGTTTAGAAAACAAAAAACTACTGATATCCAAAAGCCTACTTTCAATTTTATTTCTATATTACCATGCCTAAAAGTATGGATCATGGATCACCGGGAAGATGACAGAAAAGAGTTCATTCAGCACTATTTCACCTATCTCCTTTCTTAAATATCTAGCTAAAATTTTAAATTATGCAGCCTCTATTGATAAAAAGCAGCCATGCAATAGAGGTTGGCCCTTGAGACACAAGCAGAAAGCTGCTGGTAGCACTCACCCTTTTCATCTCTCTATGGCTGCCATGCTGGATTGAGGCCTAGAGCTCTGACAGATGTTTTCGGAGGGTTTGGATGAGACCTACATGCTCAGGATAATGGGGCAGAATGATGGAAAGTGCTTGGGGATCAACAATATTCATGAGCAGCCACCTGAAATTGACCTCTACTTCTTGTCCACAAATTAAAAAGTAACCCCCAGGCTGAGGACAAAGTTCAGTTGATAAAGTGGTTGTCTGAGGGCAAACAGGAGACCCGAGCCTAGATCCCTAGCACCAAGCACATCCCAAAGGTGGAGACAAGAGGATTCCTGGGGTTTGGTGACTTGAAGGTCAAGCCAATTGGTGAGAGATTATTTTGAGGAGAGACTCTGTCTCAAAAAATTAAGGTGCAGAAGCAATTGAAGCCATCTAGTGCTGACCTCTGGCATCTGTACACGCATGTGCACCCACAAACACATAGACACATGAACACATGTGCACACTCCCTGTTGGCTTAAGTCATTCTGTCACATATTCTTAGTGATGTCTACAGTCAAGTTAATGAATTAATGCTGCAGAGAAGGGAGCTCATGAGCAATGAGGGAGATAAGAAAAGGACAATATCAGACCAGCTGTGTCTGAAACATTCCCCCAGTGTCTCCTTTGCTCTTCTTCCTATTGAATGAGCACAGCCTGTCAATAGATCGTGTATTTCTATTGGCATCTCTGTTTCTGCTTCATCTAAAATTAGACCCACTGCTTTACTTTCCCTACTCTTAAAAAAAAGATATATTGAAAGGACTCTTGAAAAGGCTAGAGAAAAAACAAAGAGCAGTATAATCAAACTCTAGAAAGGGACTGAAACAGAAATGCCAGGGTCTCCAGAAACTAGGAGTAGAAAGATGCTTTCTACAGTTTCATCTTGGTAAAGGGACTTGAACAACCTGTGTCTATGTGTCCCCATTCAAGCCTTCAGATTATTAGAAGATAAATGTAACTGACCCAACCAGTATCAGATACCCCAAGTCTTAGAATAAATTGTCATCGTGCCTAGGACTCAAGGGAGATCATGCAGATGTGGAATTTGAAATTGAACATATTCAAGTCTGCATTTCCCACATTCCATCTCTGCCTGGAGTGTGTATACACACTTACTTATACATGCACACCCAGAAAAGAAGTCCATAACTGCCTCCTAACCACAAGCAATTGTCACCTATTATGGGGTCCCCTTCTCTACCCTGAGGTCTGTTGACCTCCAGGTCATGAGGACAAAGGGGGCAGAAGCGGGGAGCAAGGCTATGTATGACCTGTGAACAGGATGGAAATAGCCTTCTGGGAGACCGGTTCAGACAAACAGCTCAACCTTATTTCAGAGTAAAGGGAATCCATAGGATGGGAACAGTGGCTGGGGCATCACCTAATTTACATTTGGCAGCACACTCCTATCATAGAGCTGGAGCAAATGCCTAATTATCATATGGCCAGCAGGGGGAGAGCATTTGCAGGGAACTATGTCAAAAAGTCACACTTAAGATAAGTCAGGCATCTGGGCTCAAAAATAGCTTCCAAATAAGGTCAGGCAGAGGGCAGAAGCCCCCTCTGGGAGGAGGGGAGTCTCCCATTTTGCTCCAAGCTCAGGAGAGCTGTCCAGACATGGTGTACTGCAACCTCCAAGCAGCAGGGCCATCCAACAACCTATATAATCACTAACACTCTCACCTCCTCTTCATGAGAAAAAACCCAAGTTCTTATCCATCCATTAACCAAGATAGAATGTCATTATATGTGCATTTCTGAAATCAGGTTCTCCAGGTACCACCCACAGCCAGTTAAAAAGAAAAACATGATAGAAACAATTATACATACATATATTATATATATACATGTATATATGTATGTATGTGTATGTATAGTAGTTAGAGTGAGTGGAGAAATGCAAGCAGAGAGCTTGTGTTTGCTGCTGAAACGTGCCATGGGACTGCTGTTAGTTCATTTGGAATATTATAGCAAAATTTCATAAACTGAGTAGTTCATAAACAGCACAGATTTGTTTTCCATTGCAGTACATGTAGGAAAGTCAAGGATTTAGTGCTGTCAGATATGGTGCCCGGCAAGGGCCTTCTTGTGGCTTACAGGTGGGCCTTCTCACTGTATTCTCCCATGGTTGGAGGGGACAGCTAGCTCTCTAGGGTTTCTTTTATTGCAGCACTTAATTCCATCTGTGAATTCTCCACTCTTTTGACTAAATCACCTCCCTAAGGACCCACCTCCTAATACCACCATGTTGGTGCTCAACTATCAGTGCAGGAATGTTGAGACACAGAGACATCCACACCACAGCGAAGTTCTGTTCAGTCTTTTCAATCTTGATGTTATTATCTTTAGCTAGCAACCCAATCCTTCAGGATTCTTTGCCTAAGTGAAGGTACTTGATATTTTCTTTGTGAACAGCCTAAGGGTGTCCAACCAACAGCCTGTGGACTGCAAGTGACCCAGAATAGCTGGAAATGCAACCCAACACAAACTCATAAATGTACTTAGAACATTATGAGGTTTCATAATTGTTTTGGTAACTCAACTGTGCAGTTCTCAAGCATGAATTTCATCAATGACCATGTCATGTCACCGCATCAAAAGACTCG